TAATGAATTGAAGACTATAAACAACTATGAATGTAGGGAAATTGTTCTGCTAAAAATTTAGCAGAACATCAATTGCAATAACCCTGCATATCCTTGATTATTTGGCACCATATCTTTATAAGTTAGCGAATTCCCTCAAGTGCATAACTTACGGCAGCGATCAGATAAATCATTTTATCACATTACGGTATTCCTATTATTGGCAAATTCAAATAGGAAATACTTGATTCCAATTGTTTAATATCTAGAATCACCACCACTGTTATCTTTTATACTGCCAATTATGTTATACTATTTATTTAATCTGTAAACCAAATTTTATTGAAAGATCCGCTCAAACTTGCACCTTTGGCTATGAAATTAAATCGCGACGACTGTCACTGATACAACATCGATCACACCCAAAGGACTTTTCATAAAACTATTATGCGGTCATTCGCCATGTAACTACCTTGGATGTACCTTGGATGTACCTATGCAGGAGTTGTGCTACGTTTGTGGAATTGATTTTGTGTCTCATCGACGGCTTTAAATGATTGATCACCTGCGGATGTTGGTTGAAGTTGCGCAAATTGTTGACCGAAACTTCGTACAAATAAAAGCTAGGAAAAGAAGAACATGAACTGGATCGTATACTTTAGGTGTGAGCCCGTCTTAACATCATGGCCTAGTACAAAATTGACGTTTTCTTCAAACAAAAATTACTCATCGGAGTTGACATCTTAAAGGGCTCTAAATTCATTGAGTCCCAGAGAACTAAAAATGTAACATTTGGAAATACTCTATTGTTGATATGTGACCACTAGCTCAAAAAGCTAATAGGAAGTTTGCAAGAATCGAATATGTTAATGTTGTTCAAAAGCCTTACTCCAAAATGTTGTTTGGGTGCTCTTCAAAGAATAAGTATTCTGGAGCAGTACTGGATTATTTATCAATTTATGCTATACACTTAGGTGTCACCCAAATTCAACAGGGTAAAACACAATAATGAACGTTTGAAAAAGGACTAGCCCATCCATTAGCTTTAACCACAATATATCAAAAACAAAAAATATTCAAATTAAGCGCCAATCATCTCGCAAACCAAAACTAGCTTCTGTTGCGATTTGAGGAGGAGAATTACGGTGATTTTCTTGCGGAAATTTGGCTATATAATTTGAGTCAGCAGTGGGAGATCTGGTTTAGAAGTTGCATCTCGAATAAAATCATACAATAAGGAGGACCTTCCTTGAAAGGTCTATTCTATGCGTAGTGTTGTTGAGACTACTCAGATGTAGATGAAGCAGTGTTGAAAGCGATAATCAGCAGCCTTGCTTGATTTTTTCTCTCAGAGGTATCAACATCTTGCAGTCTTTAACAGTTTTCGCGCGTCAGCTGAACGGCAATATAAATCCTAAAAAATTCGCACTTTCATTTCCTCTCTTGAATGCTAGCATACGTACGATTTCTTTTGATTTATTGTAATATGTTCTGAGCCCTATATATTTTGTTCACATAACACGTGCTCTTTAAATTTGACATTTATAGAAGTACATCAACCTTCTTTTAGCAATGATTTTTTGTATCCAAAAAGCAATCATTTACCAATTAATCAAATATGAATCACCGATGCAGTAATTTTGCTTTTGACTTTGTCGTGATAATCTATAATCTCTACTTCCTACCTCATTTAATCATCAAAAGAAAAGTAACGTTCATTTTCAGTTAAGTTCGGTTTCTGCCACGTTGAAGTGTTAGTCGCATGGATGTTATGCATCATCGAACATGACTATATATTTAGATGGTGAGTGACAGCGAAGTGGAGAGAAAGGACAGCAAAAGGCGCCAGTCTGCGTCAGCTAGCAGGTCAGGATTGTATTTTTGTTCAATAGAGTGTGAAGACATTTCGACTAGCGGTAATCGAGCCATCTAATATTGATACCACAGAGTATATCGGACAGAAAGGCAACGGTTAGAGCTGCTTCCAGAAAATGTGTGCTGGTGTTGCTGTTGATGTGCATGACTTTCACATTATGAAAGTGTCTGAAAGACTCTTATTTGACAATTTAATGAAGCTAGCCAATGCTAGATGAGAGAATCTCACAATCTATGTAATGAAAGCCAGGGCTTTGTGTTTCACCTCACTCTAGGAAAAGCCGGCGCTGGCTTGTAGCTCCGGAGAACAATACATATGAGCCTCTCTGCTGATTTGGCTTCGTTTTTCTTGCGAAACAACTGGTCATCTCCTGCTAAAGATCGTTTATATTTTTGACGGAGTACGGTACAGAAATTTGCTAGACTAATCCATCACATCGCATGAGCGACCGATTCATATGCTTTTTCTTTCTTCGTGCTTATATTTACATTGGAGATACAGTGATAATGGTTCACACTGCCACTATCTCAAGAAGGATGAGTCATTTTTACATGAAACATACAGACGGATTGTCGTATATGCAAACCTCTAAGCTCCTTATTATATGTAGTTACCTGGAATGCTCGCCTACGCGTGCTTAACTTTTGTTTTTGCAATCTTTTGTAATCATCAAATAGTAGCTAACAACTCCAGGTGACATACATCAACAACATACAAAATTCTGCTTGCTGTTTTAACGCTTGATGTTTTTACCCTATCTCAACTGCATATGAAGAGCTATCGAAGTAATCTGATAATATTTTTCTAAACAAGTTGTTCGCCTTGTCGGGATGCAGCGATGGCCAGTTGGCATCAGCTGCTGGCTGGAGGTGACCCAGAACTCGGAGAAATGGGATCACCTTGCCGGCGCTAGCCGGCTCCATCTTCTCCTTCCCTCCCTCCCTTTCTCTATTTATCTATTACACTGAAAATATATACAAATAACCCAAACTTGTGCCTACATCGCTTCAGGTATGACACTGCCAGTCTTCCTGACGGGGTACGGTCGTGACTGTTGCCACAGTTTGCCGCGTCCTTATCCTTGCAGTGCACCATTAGTCCTCTAGCTGAACTCCGCAAGGCCATATTGGTTTATTCACATATACAACCACATCACGTCTTCAGACCATTACATCTTTCATGTTTACGCTCGAGGACGAGCTTTTTGTCAGGATGCAGCGATGGCAAGTTGGTGTCAGCTGTTGGCTTGAAGCTGAGCCAAAACTCAGAAGGAACCACCTCATCGATGCCAGCCGGCTGCCTCTTCTTGTCCCCTCTCCTTTTCTATATGTATCTATTACCCTGATTGAAAATATGAATAACTCAAACTTGTACAACATCATCCGCTACACTTCAGGTATGACGAGGCCAGCTATATCCTGACAAACTACGCTCGCCTGTTATTAATTTTAACAAGCATCCGCCTACCTATTTAACCTAATTTATGCATCGTATCCTGAAAAGTCTATCGGGTCAGGACGTTGCGTCGGGAATGCTTCATCAGAGCGCAGTCACCTCTCATCGCGCACCTTTCATCTAGGCAGAGCTGCGCGTAGGACACCGTGT